GTTCTACAGCCGGTACTTCATAGTTCCCAAGAAGGATGGGGGGTTGCGTCCGATAACAGATCTCAGGCACTTGAATCGGTCTCTGAGGAGATTCAGGTTCAAAATGCTCACAATTCCAGCCATCGTGAGTCAGATCCAGTTCGAGGACTGGTTCGTCACGATAGATCTGAAGGACGCATACTTCCATATTTCCATCCTTCCATGTCACAGGAGGTTCCTGAGGTTCGCTTTCGGGGGCGAAGCGTACCAATACCGGGTTCTTCCCTTCGGCCTAGCTCTCTTCCCTCGCACCTTCACCAAGTGCATGGATGCAGCTCTGGCTCCGCTGAGACTCCAGGGCATCCGTATACTCAATTACATCGACGACTGGCTAATATTGGCCAGTTCGTGCGAGATGGCGGTTCGGCATCGAGATGTCGTTCTGGCCCACATCAGGTGCCTGGGGCTGAGACTCAACACAAAGAAGAGTGTGTTGACGCCCTCCCAGAGGACTACGTTCCTGAGAGTTGTATGGGACTCCACGACCATGCGGGCACAAATGTCTCCCACACGCGTGGAGTCCATACGGGCGATAGTCTCCAGAGCGAAGCTAGGCCACAACCTCACTGTGAAGCAGTTTCAGAGACTGCTGGGGCTCATGGCAGCAGCGTCCAGTGTTATACCTTTTGGCCTGCTATACATGAGACCCCTACATTGGTGGTTGAGAACCATGGGATTTTCCCCGAGGGGAAATCCGTTCCGTATGATCAGGGTAACGCGCAGATGCCTTCGTTCCCTCGTCATATGGAGGAAACCTTGGTTCCTGTCCCAGGGACCGGTGCTGGGAGCATCATGTTGCCGGAAAGCCGTTTCAACAGATGCCTCCCTCACTGGTTGGGGCGCGGTCATGGACGGCCGCTTTGCGAGAGGTCTGTGGGAGACCCGGCATTCTTCCTGGCACATCAATTGCCTGGAAATGCTGGCGGTCTACAAAGCTCTGAGGAGTTTTTTCCCGGACCTCTGCGGCCACCATGTCCTGATACGCTCGGACAACATGTCCGTAGTCGCGTATCTGAATCACCAGGGAGGTCTGAGGTCGCGCCCTCTATGCAGACTGGCACACCAGATCCTTCTGTGGTCCCAGGGGAAACTGTCGTCTCTCAGAGCGATGTATATCCCCGGGGACCAAAATCAGGGAGCAGACGTCCTGTCGAGGCAGGGGCTGAGGCCCGGGGAGTGGCGACTCCACCCCGAGGTGGTGGAGGCCATGTGCGTGAGATTCGGCCCAGTGGAAGTGGATCTGTTCGCGTCTCGAGAGACGTCCCACTGTCCACTGTGGTTCTCTCTCAGGTATCCAGCTCCGTTGGGGCTGGACGCTATGACACAGACGTGGCCGAGGCTGCGTCTGTACGCATTTCCCCCGATCGCTCTGCTCCCGGGAGTCTTGGAGCGGGTCCGCCGGGAAGGGATCAGCCTACTTTTAGTAGCACCCCGCTGGCCGACCCGGATATGGTTCTCGGACATTGTAGCACTGCTAGACGGCCTCCCGTGGCAGGTCCCTCTGAGGAGGGATCTGCTGTCTCAGGCAGGGGGCACAATATTTCACCCCCGGCCAGAGCTGTGGAACCTCTGGGTCTGGCCCCCGAGGGGGCTCGGTACTTAGAGGCTGGCCTGTCAGCAGGTGTTGTCGAGACCCTACTTAGCTCCAGGGCTCCTTCCACTAGGAGACTGTACAGCTTAAAGTGGAATGTGTTTTCCACTTGGTGTAGAGAGCGTGGGGTGGACCCAGTTAACTGCCCAGTGGCTTCAGTGCTGGAGTTCCTCCAAGATCGTTTCTCCGCCGGTCTTTCCCCATCCACACTTAAGGTGTATGTGGCTGCCATTGCGGTTTTCCACTCACCTATAGGTGCTGGGCCTTTGGAAAGGCACCATATGGTTGTACGTTTCCTCCGTGGGGCTCGGAGGATTAGGCCTGCGGCTCGCTCCAGAGTCCCAACTTGGGACCTGGCGGTGGTTCTTGAAGGGTTGGCTGAGGCCCCCTTTGAACCACTGGAGTCGGCTGAGGCAAAGAACCTGACCTTCAAGGTGGCCTTTCTCCTTGCCATCACTTCTCTGAAGAGAGTGGGGGATCTCCAGGCCTTGGCTATATCGCCAACTTGCCTGGAGTTTGCCCCTGGCGGAGTTAAGGCCATCTTACATCCTAGACCGGGCTATGTGCCCAAGGTGCCGTCTAGTGCGGCACGGTCAGTGGTTCTTCAGTCCTTCCATCCTCCACCTTATGGGACGGCGGAAGAGGGGAGACTTCACCTGCTCTGCCCAGTCAGAGCCCTAAGGGTTTACTTGGAGAAGTCTTCTCAGTGGAGGAAGTCAGACCAGTTGTTGGTGTGCTTTAGTTCTCCCAAGAAAGGGCTGCCTGCTTCTAAACAGACAATCAGTAATTGGATTGTCCAGGCTATAGCCACGGCTTATCAGGTGCGCAATTTGCCTTCACCTATGGCCGTGAGGGCACATTCCACCAGGAGCATGGCCTTCTCGGTGGCCCTCCTTTCTGGCGTCTCGCTTCAGGAGATCTGCGAGGCGGCCGGGTGGGCCACCCCGCACACCTTCATACGTTTTTACAGTCTGCAACTCCCCGTGACGCCTGGCGCCAGAGTGCTCGCGTCTTAAGTGTGCCTGGTCTTCCAGCTTCACACTAGGGGCGGGCGTGATTACGGTGTGGCATAGTGGGTATTTCGTTCCCCAAAGTGTCACAACGATGACGCAGTTCGAGTTCCCTCGAAGGGGAACGTCTCGGGTTACGACTGTAACCCTTGTTCCCCGAGAAGGGAACGAGACACTGCGTCTCGTCGCCACACCTATCACAGGCAGAGCGCTAGCTTCATCGCAAAGAGCTAGTGTTTGTATTTGCCAAGCTTACCTTTGTATCTTCGGGTTATGCCGTCATCTACTACGTCATGACGCAGCACCAATCAGGATTGGACAGATTTCATTCATGCTTCAGATGCGCTACGCTGGGGGCGTTCCCCAAAGTGTCACAACGATGACGCAGTGTCTCGTTCCCTTCTCGGGGAACAAGGGTTACAGTCGTAACCCGAGACGTTTTCAGGGTTGATTGAAAACCAAAATTTGTACATCCTTGTCATAACACATCTATGTGTTGAAACTTTGCATGCACATTCACAACCCTAAATAAAAGTCACAAAATTGCAGAAATAAATTGTTTAACTAGTGTTTAAAGCAGTTTAATTAGTTTAAATTGACCTGCAACACAACAAGTGGGTTACATTTTATTTAACCCTTGTGCAACCTTATGGACATTTTTGTCTTTTTCAGTTTTTTTTTTAAATATATATACACTCACCGGCCACTTTATTAGGTACCCCATGCTAGTAACGGGTTGGACCCCCTTTTGCCTTCAGAACTGCCTCAATTCTTCGTGGCATAGATTCAACAAGGTGCTGGAAGCATTCCTCAGGGAGTTTGGTCCATATTGACATGATGGCATCACACAGTTGCCGCAGATTTGTCGGCTGCACATCCATGATGCGAATCTCCCGTTCCACCACATCCCAAAGATGCTCTATTGGGTTGAGATCTGGTGACTGTGGAGGCCATTTTAGTACAGTGAACTCATTGTCATGTTCAAGAAACCAATTTGAAATGATTAGAGCTTTGTGACATGGTGGAAGTAGCCATCAGAGGATGGGTACATGGTGGCCATAAAGGGATGGACATGGTCAGAAACAATGCTCAGGTAGGCCGTGGCATTTAAACGATGCCCAATTGGCACTAAGGGGCCTAAAGTGTGCCAGGAAAACATCCCCCACACCATTACACCACCACCACCAGCCTGCACAGTGGTAACAAGGCATGATGGTTCCATGTTCTCATTCTGTTTACGCCAAATTCTGACTCTAACATCTGAATGTCTCAACAGAAATCGAGACTCATCAGACCAGGCAACATTTTTCCAGTCTTCAACTGTTCAATTTTGGTGAGCTCTTGCAAATTGTAGCCTCTTTTTCCTATTTGTAGTGGAGATGAGTGGTACCCGGTGGAGTCTTCTGCTGTTGTAGCCCATCCGCCTCAAGGTTGTGCGTGTTGTGGCTTCACAAATGCTTTGCTGCATACCTCGGTTGTAACGAGTGGTTATTTCAGTCACTGTTGCCCTTCTATCAGCTCGAACCAGTCTGGCCATTCTCCTCTGACCTCTGGCATCAACAAGGCATTTCCGCCCACAGAACTGCCGCTCACTGGATGTTTTTTCTTTTTCGGACCATTCTCTGTAAACCCTAGAGATGGTTGTGCGTGAAAATCCCAGTAGATTAGCAGTTTCTGAAATACTCAGACCAGCCCTTCTGGCACCAACAATCATGCCACGTTCAAAGTCACTCAAATCACCTTTCTTCCCCATACTGATGCTCGGTTTGAACTGCAGGAGATTGTCTTGACCATGTCTACATGCCTAAATGCACGTAGTTGCCGCCATGTGATTGGCTGCTTAGAAATTAAGTGTTAACGAGCAGTTGGACAGGTGTACCTAATAAAGTGGCCGGTGAGTGTATATATATATATATATATAAAAGTGCCTGTGTTAATGCCAACTGCATACATTTTGGCACAGGTGTGTATATTTATTGGAATTTTATTATTTCACCCCATTTCCTTTAATAAATATATTTTGCACTAGGTACACAAACTCAGGACAAAAATGTCCCCATTGAAATTTTTAATCCCAGTCCCAGGCATTTAACTATAAAAAGATGCAATTTTTGTTAATAGGCTTTCATGCAGTTGGCAAGGCTTCAAAATGAGACCAAACTTAGGTATGTGCTCCCAAGCTTCAAAATTTTATGAAAGTTTTTTGACACAGACATTTTTGTCCACTATGGACCTATGTGTAACTTTTTTTAATTGATGCACAAGGGTTAAATGCTAATTAATTGACAAGATTTTATTTGACACCTTATTGTAATTTCAAACACAATTTTCAAGCACAGTATTTAAACATAAAAGTCTACCTGAACAGCGATATACAGTCCTGGGACATTGAACGTTTCAAACATGATCTCAGCTAAGTATTCCCGGTTCTCTGGGGTATTTAGAGGAGGTTCTGTCTGAGGAGAAAAAACAGCACTGCAACATCAGGATAAACAGACACAAAAGCCCTGTTGAATAAATTAAATTTGGTCTTTTGTAATGTAAAATATTAGTGCATATAAAAAGTCTTTTGTCATCATCAAGTGGAGCAGTGAGACAAAAGCACACATGCAAAAGACACACTGGAAACATCCTGTTTGTGACATGAAAACACTGTCTGGTACAGACAAAGCAGCATCATTTATCATTTTGCAAACAATAAATATTTCATTTGGTAGCTTCAAATATGTATGTGCTTCCTCTGTTTCTCAATGGGAATAATCTGTTTCACAAATCACTTCAAATCACTGTGCCAAACACTTCATTATCTCATCTTTAAGAATGTACAGGCGACATACCATCAGGAAGCTGTGGTCCTCCGGCTCAGCTCGGAGATATTTAAATATGATTTGCTCCATGAACTTTTCCATGAGGTCCCAATCCTCAACAATACCATGTCTGATGGGCCACTAATGTATACACAGAGAAAAGGAACATTACATGAATTCTTCATCACTCTAGTCTTAGATAATGTTGTCTGTTGTCTCCGTAACAACACAAACTTGGGAATAAAATACTCATCAGATGAAGCAACAGTTATGAAATATGATGATTGCACATTATTGTCCCAAATGTCAGTAAAATGACAATAGAGCTAAATTAATCTAGAATGAGGTGGTCAATGCATTTTTTGGCAAGTGTGAGAGACTATTTTAGTCTCACGGTTGGGGAAGATAGCTTAATCACAGTCGCTTGCGAGTACTTGATTACCGGCTAATCTTTTTTTTTTTTTTTTATGAAATTTTTGTAGGGGTTTCTAATTGTAGGGTTTTTCTTTGGCTTTTTTATCTTTGTTCTCCAAAAACAAACTTCATGTTTCAGTTTTTTGTATGATTTTTTTTGTATCCAACAGTATGATGCTACCACCCATTGTGAAAAAGAAGTGTGCATAATTGTATCATATGTGCATTTGTAGTGTGCTTCAAATTTCAAGCATATTGTTAAAATGGCACATGCAGATAATTGAATATTATAATGGAATAAAAGACCACTTAAAGATAGTTCACTTTCATGACTATGTTTCTTAACACACTTAAGTACACTTTTAAAGTTAAAAGTTTTACTTTAAAGTACATTTTATGGTTTAATAATCTTTTGTTGTGCTTTAACACACTTAAGTACACTTTTAAAGTTAAAAGTTTGACTTTAAAGTACATTTTATGGTTTAATAATCTTTTGTTGTGCTTTAAAGAATCAATCTTATTTGACGTGGTGACTAACATACAGTACTAAAGCACATGCAAAGTACTTGTTTACAATTTTAACTCTACTAAGTTAAATATTTGATGCCAATATATTTAAAGTGTACTAAATATATGGGTACACCAAACTCTACTGCTGGTATGGTGGGTTTTTGTGGTTGACAGTGTCAAATTCTCATCGAACATGGTTTTAAAAAGCTTTATCACAAAATCTCTTCTCGCACTGCAAGCTGAGCAATAGTTTCTTTGTGCTTGTCTTTTATATAGCTCAGTATTATGTCAAGCTCTTGATATGGTTGACCGGTGCCCCTTCACTTTGTTCTCAGTTATTGAACCCTGTAACGCCTTCAAAATGATCATTCACCTCTCAAGTCTTCGTGTTCAAGCAGTGTCTGAGTAGTTGGATGTAGCTTTACACTTCCTGATAATTGAACCACTGCTGGCATTTTCAAACACTTTCATATATTTAATGATTTTTTCTATAATTATGTATTTCCAGTTTAAACAGGAAGTTTGGCATAACATAATAAGGTGATCGTGCCCACCTGTTTTGCTACTTGCAAGGCAGTTCATACCAAGTTCTGGCATGAAACTCTAGATGGCGCAGGCTGATAGGTCCTTAACTAATTTGGTAGCGATCACATCGTCATCTACATAGCACGGCTGATTGGTTGATGTAGCATCAGTGGCCAATGAGCTGCAGATCAACATTCAAATACCGGTAATGTTGCTGTTAACATAGATATCCATAATAAAGGCTAGATGTCTTACGGCGGAGTCTCTATCGTCATCACCGGCGGCCATCTTGTCACAGGCAACCTTTCTGGCGGGCTCTGTGGTGCCTGATGTAAGATGAGTGATCAGCACGAACACAATACTCTTATCTCGTTGCAATCTAGACGGATTTACAAACGATTTGGTTTCTTACAAACGTTATTAACGTGGCTATAATTCTGGATGATTATTTATTGATACACTTATTATTCATAAGTGTGCATTGTCATAACTACATCTCTGACGTTTATAACAAACCAAACCGTTTGAAAATCGGTAGAAAATTTAGCAAGTTATGGTTATTTAAAAGTACATGCACCATTAAAACACAATGTTACGAGTGAGCGAGCTGCCTGTGACAAGATGGCCGCCAGGTGCGGAGCAGAGGTCGACCTCCATTGGCCAGAAGCGCGGACGAGACATTTAGCCTTTATTATGGATATCTTTGGCTGTTAGCATTCTGCAGCGCGCTTTCAGAAACCCTCCACCTTCCCCAGCTCCACCTGTTTAGATCTGCTACGGGGGTTATTTCATGTATGTTACATGTACAGCAGCAGCATGTCTTGCATGATCACAGCAATTTCTGTAAATGTATTGGCAGTAGCAAGTCTCGGTACTTGCTCTGCAGCAGCAGTGTTGCAGATCTATTCCGCCAATACCAAATACATTAACATTGCCATATCCATTACCATGCACATCTCTCAGAGAGTTGTCACGACCAAAGTCATTTTATACTCAAAACCTGACTGTACATTTAAAGGCTGATTACACTAGCATTTAGATGGCCTCAAGATGGACCCATAACATTTTGATTTGATGGAGTCTTTAAGTATGTAATATGTCAGCATTATAATTTCCGTTTGTGTTTGCATACGTCTTGTTACTGTTGCTTTGGAAATCCAGTAATTTTAATAGGAATCTATAAGGAAGTCGCATGTGACAAGTTTGTGTGTTGTTGTGTTGTTCGTGTGCTGTGCTTCATACATCTCAACGCTATTTACAATGGACCTTTTTTTTTTATTTCAAATTTTTGCTGAAATATGACCACATCTTAAGCCTCAACAAATATGCTTATAAACTTCCTGAGGTAGATTGTACAGTGTCTATAGGCCTAAAAAACAGACTGGTGCAGTACACATCACAGCTGATCACCTTGGTTGCATAGTTTGGCTTATCAATGGCTTCGTCTCCGATGAAGAAATCGAGGTCATCCACCCCTTTCATGAGACGTCTCTGTGCCTGATCTCCAACACCCGCTGTCTCTCTGATCGCGATACCTGCAGTGACAACACTACAATCAGCTTACTGTAGCGCTGTCACAAAGCACATTCATATAAAATAAACTCAACCCACATTTGAAATTTGACAGTATCTTTTGACAAAAGCAACACAATCAATAAGTGTTATGAAAGGATATGAGTTGTTAATGGGCTCAGAATCTACAGTATATTGAGGTTACAGCAGTGGTGAAATGAGATTTTTTATAATAGCTTAAAATAGTGGTTCCCTAAGGCAGTTTTTAATTAAATTCGTGATCCAAATATTATATCCTGGATCTGAGTGCTGGACATGCAGTATTAGTCTTCTCTGATCTGTCCCGCTGTGCGTTTAACAACTTCAACTGGCATGCAGCTTACAGGACGGCATGATGAACTGGGGCTCCGTGTTTCCTGCATAACCAATCTTGGTGTACCTGTAGAAGAAGAACAGTGATTATCATCATGAATGAGATGAATAAACCTGTACGCTCTATTTGTTTATAATTTTTCAATCAGTATTTCCAGTGAGTACACGGTCTCTCCATTTTTCAGATAACAGCTGTGGAAGTTTATTGTACAGCTATAATTAGGGTTGGGTACCGAAACTCGGTGCCAATAGGGAACCGGTTCCGACGTAAACGGTAGTAACCAGACCGAATAAGAAAGAAAATTTCGGTGCCTGATTTCGGTGCCTAACTTCATTAGGCACACACGCGCACACACACACACACACACACAAGGTCTCTCGCTCTCTCTCTCTCCGCCGTGCGTGTGCTACACAGTTTGGAGCAAAGTTTCTTCTGTCTCGCATGCGCGCTCTTTCTCGCAAGGTTTGGCTCCATTTCACGTGTAAAATTACGTGTCAGAACGCCCTCTGGGTGTGCCGATAGTCTGAATCCCATATAGAATCAAGCCAATTCATTGGCTGATGGCGCCGCATCGACGCACTTACGTCGTCATACTATGCTGTCGCGCGCGCGCCATCTGATCCTCAGATTTCTCTGCCGAAAAAGGAAGCTGGTCGGCAGCGCGAGGAGCTTGGCTGCGTCCCGTTCCCTATTGAGAGATATGTTACACCAACCAGAGATGTTCTCTTTCATAGGTTCTCTCAACGCTGCGTAGCTAAGAAGCAGTGGATTTGTAGGCTGCTGTATCACGTGCCGTTTGAACTGACGCGCTACAGCGATCTGTCACATTTCAAAGAGCCAAAACGTTATTTATTGTGTGAATCTCGTAAAAATATTGACAGAATCTGACAGCTGTGGATTTGTTCCATATCAAAAGTAACCTTCTCTGTCTTGTCTGTCAGTGTCCTCTTTGTCCGCGATTTTTCTGTGTGAAAAGGGTCATTTGCGTGAGTCTCACGGTCAATGCGTGAGAGTTGGCAGCTCTGCCTGCTAGTAATCTCTATTAATCTCCAGTATTATTACATTGTTTGATACAATATTGTTTCATTTGATATTATGTAAATATGAATTTTTATTTTATATTGGTTTTATTATTACCATATGTTACTTGTATTTATATTGTTTAAAGATTTAAGTTAATATTGTGTCCAGTTTGGCCCTGTAAATTAAAGGGTATTATTTTTTGATAAAGTGTGTGCGGTTTCATTTTCTTAAGTACCGATTTAAGAACCGTTTAAGCACCGGAACCGTTTAAAAAATACCGAGTAGGTACTGGAATCGGATAAAACCCAAACGATACCCAACCCTAGCTATAATGCACCTGATTAATGTCTTGAAAAATGGCAGCTAATTAAATAAAGACCAACATATTTTATATGAAAACACAGATAATACCGAAAACCATATCAGGAATATTGCTTCCTATACACTCAGAGCCTCTTTATTTTTCAGATGCAGATGTTATGTTTACATCAAAATACTGTTACTTCTGCATTTGATTTGATTTGATTTATATACAACCCCCAATTCACATATCCCTCATCCAAATTTGTGAATTAATCCTCCTGACCCAAATCAACAGATTACAACTATTCAGAAGCATTTTAAAGAAGTTTAGGAATATTACAGACTAGAATTTTGTGTGTTTTCTACCTAAAAAAAAAACATTGCAATCAATCATGTAATTATATGTGTTATCTATCACACAGAGAGTAATAAAATGCAAAGTATGGCAACGCATTTAGTTAAATTTATAAAGTCTGCAAAAGCACATACAATTGATTTTTTTTCAGGTCCAGCAGAAATGACACTGGAGGAGTAAGGTTATCGGTGTGTGACAGTAAACAAACTCACCCTGTCCCGCAGTCAATCACGCATGGAGGGGGCCGCACTGCCATCATCAGCTAGATACAAGCATACAAACATATCCGCATGTCACAACAATAACGACGTCATCTGCATTGAAACCATGATGTGTCGTTTGCAGGGTTGTCAGGTGTACCTTTACCGCGGTGTAAATTGTTCCTTGATTATGGCTTGCTCCGTTATTTTTCTGCGACTACTTCCCGAGTCAAAGGGAAGGCAGAAAATAGAAACATGCTGGATCCACTCGCGCTGCCTCATCATGATCCACAGAGCTGACAGCGACATTTCCAATCCTACTATGGTAAAGGCTGGAATAATATTCAACACGAGCCAAGCCCTCGATCGCCACTATACAGATAAACATTCGCTACTGGAAGGTTATAAGGAACGTCAACATGGCGTAATTAATATGCATGACCTAAACATTTTGCCATAGTAGGCTCCGTAATTTCCCGAGCTGGCAAAGTGGCGTGCCTGTAAACGGAGCGCGTGGCGCATTATGATTGTTTACTTTCTTAACACCCCGTACGACACAGCTTTAATGGCAGACGATCTATAAATTGGTGCTTATTTGGTTCAAGATCATTGAATCAATTCGGAAATATCTCCTATAAACGGTCTGATTGTTTATATATGATCAATATTATGAATGAACACGTACTGCGTAATTATGGGATAGGGAGCCTTTCAATTTTATTGTGCATATTATTATTATTATTATTATTATTGACATTAATAATATTTTTTTCATAACACTGCTTAAATGTGTGTTGCCTATTGTATGTTAAAAATCATATGACATTAAAGCACGTTGAAACTGAATAAAACTGACTGGTGACATCTAGAATAAAGATCTGAAGGGTAAACTCTAGATGGCAGTCGGTCCTAATTTTACATTAGGATATAATTATTTATCATTTATAGCCTACTATTGTTCCACCTACACATTGTTCCACTAAGTGATGCTGTATTACATTTATTTTAATATGGTGTATTATTTGTACATAATTCAAAGTTTCATGCAAAGTATTATTGTGTAAATACTATACAGCTCTAAAAGTCTGCTATATAATGGAAGATTTTTTCTTCTTCTTCAAAACAACAACCCTCTGAGACCTCTTAATCTGACGTCTAAAGCAAGTAATGTGATTTAAGTAATAACATATGTTCCTACTATAGCCTACTCTCATTTTTTGAGAAGTAAATAAAAGAATTATAACATAGCCTATTAAATAATATTAAATAATAGATAATATATAATGAAAGTCCAGAAGAAAACTGAAAGCTGCCAGTTCAAACTGTGCACATCCAAGGATTCTGCACAATCTCTTAATAAATGATATCATATTCTATAAAATACGGCAAAATATGAAATAAAAAAGAAAGTTAAATACAAATAGATGTTATTGTGTGGTTTCAATATTAGTTTGTCGGAAATTGTAGGACTCTTGTTTTGAAATGTAGTCGAACGCTTATGTATCAGGAAATAGAATCCTTGAAATAATTGCGCGAAAAGCAACGAAATGACAGAGCGAGTCAGAATGGCTGAGAATGGCGCACAGGTACATCTGACAAATCAGTTCACATTAATGCTTTAAGTAAACTTACAATTAAATAATACATTTTAACGCAGGTTTAAGTTTAAAACCGGTTAAAGGTATAGAAACATGAACTATTCCTGTAGTTAATAGGTTCATTCAAATGATCATCATGACAGTTTTCAACTAAATCTTTGTGTTGGAGTGGAAGTAACGTTACGTTACTTACAAATTGAGGTTCAGACCTGATTCAGACATGTTCATGCACTCTGTATGAATGGGGTCGTACAATAGACAATAACTGGAAAGCCACTAACTATACCTTTCTTCTTGCTGTAAACACCAATGTTTGTGTTTTTTTCTAGTTGGTAAGCAGACTTGAGGGGCGACCGTCATTGAGGGACATTGAACCCAATATATTCCCTGTCGACTGCGGTCCACGTCAAGGTGCAGTGAAATCAAACTGACCCTTCATGTATTGAATGCGAATTTGAATTGAGTTATCCATAACACACAAGTTATTGGAATTTCATTAGTACAACACTAGTTAAATGAAACAAACATACATTAATTACATCAGTACTTTTGACTAATATGATAATATTATACATTTTTGTTCTCAGTCATCAAATGTCCACAGCATTGTTTTACATAAAAAAAAAAAATATTGAAATCAAAACTTCAGATCGGTTAGATCTTTCCGTGAAGTGAAGTGTTTTTTCCACCATGATCCATAAAATGAAAGCTAAATTAATTATAAATAAGAGGTATAAATAAATTTTTTTTTAAGTGGTAGTTACGACTTTGATATGATGTAATGTTTCTGGAAATACCTCATATGTTGTGTGTATGATAACATTTAAGGGTAGTTGAACAGGTGTACATAATAAAATGGCTGGACTGGTGAGTGTATAATGAAAAATGTTAAAACAAAACAAAAACAGACCAGTCTTAGATTTCATTCCATATTTTCTCAAAAGTTTCTTATTATGCAGAGGCAACTGTAAGTAAGCCATTCATACGCATCATAGACCATTTAGAATACTGTTTTTATGTTGGTTCCACATTAATTTGTAGATTCAGTGCAAAATATATTTATGTTTACAATTTGAATGTTAGGTGCGATTAATTGAATTGTTTTAATATTTCAACACTCCTAGAGATTAGATGTATTTGTTCACAGCCATCAAAATGTCCACAATATTGTTTTTACTTAACTTAAAATAAATAAATATTGACATCAGTAGAAGTCAGTTAGAGCATTCTGGGAAGTGAACATCTCTATAAAATGACAGCAAATGAAATAATAATATGAGGTATAAATACAAAAAATTCTATAGGTGTCAGTTGAAACATTGATTACTGATATCATCTAATGTTTCTGGAATACCTCATATGTTGTCTGCGGGAACATATTTCTGGGTAATACATACTGAAAAATGTATTAATTCAATTTTAATTGTACTTGAATCAATAATTTTAATATTTTCTTAGCTTAGAGGCAACTAATAAACCATTTATAAGCTAAAGAGGGAGAATGTTTTTTTTTTTTTATCATTAAATTATCATTTATTACAAAAAAGAGATAAGAATAAAAAACTGTACACACCTGTTTGGCCAACCAATGATGTATGGGGGAGTGTTCCAGAAACCTTTTTGTAAACAATAATTTTTACAGTACCATTTGGTGCCACTAGTGATGACATAACACATTTCACCTTCAAATTCAAACTTATCATCCTGTTTGCTATCTCGATTCAAATTCAGCAATTTAATTCAATGCTGCAGTGATGACGTATTTTTGTGGGGCAACCTAGAAGTTAGCATCACCCTGGTTCCCTCAATTAAAACAAAAACAAAATTATTGCAGAAAATAAGCTTTGTGAACAACAAAAGTTTATGATTTTTACACATTTTGTTCATCGTGATAATCTTCACAGACGAACATAGCTTTTTCAGCTTTTCAGTGAATTTAACCCTCTGATTATCTTCATTTGTGTCTACACTAGTTATCTTTGGGGTCTCCAGGGACCCCAGACAATAACATTTAATTTTGTAACATAGTAAAAGTTTTTTTTTTTTTTTTTTTTTACAAATGTAATTTTACTCTGTTTATTAATGTTTTTACTCAACATTTGTGCAGTTTTTGGAGGATTTATGATATCTTTTAAATTTCTATAAATAAATAAATAAATATTTATTTAAATAGGCTTTTTACTAAAAAAAAACTGCATTTTATGTAAACTTAACTTTATAAAAGACCCAGATTTTTAACTTTCATTCATTTAAATAACATGGTTAATTTTACATGGTTTAATGTAAGATTTTTGGCCATTTTTTGGAAAATGCAAAAAAATAAAAAATCACTTTAACCACTAGATGGCTATTGAGAATGAGAAGGTGACGTCACGCGTATCACTCCGTGTTGCATTGTGGGAAGGATTCGCCATCTTGGAAGGATACGCTATCCGTTGTCATGGTTACTTCGACCGTGAGACCGAGAGAAATAGCGACAGAGAGAGAGAGCAGCTTGATATTTGTTTGCATTTTTGCGATAAGGCACAGTTTCTTGGGAATAAATGAAGAAGGGGGAAGCAAAAGGAAAGGGGCTCTATCGGGAGAGACTAAATAACAACACAAAGCAGCGTTATTTAGAGAAACTACTTGACATCAACATGGACCCGTACGACCTGCTACAGAATGGACGAAAGACCAAAGCACTACCACCTTTTACATACGCTGACAAAGTTAATTACCTGGTTTGTTTATGGTATCAGTGACTAACGTTACTGCCTACACAATGCAAGAGGATTAGAAGCTGAACAAGTCTGTTGCGGCTGCGGGTGCAAGACTTAGAAACCCCCAAACCTGTAACGTTAAACTGCGAGAGTTCAGTCATACTTGATGTTTCATTCAGGCCTCATTCATATGTGGAAATAAATCTGATATGAATCAGATATGTGCATTTGCACCTGCCGTGCAACGTTAAGCGAACAGATCGGACATTCCACTGTCAATGCGAATCGTACGTCATTAAAAAAAGTGTATTTTTAAAACATTTCACGGTACAGATATATCTATAACAAATGAAACAACTCTAGTTGAATAACAGAGTATTAATTTCTTTCGTTTGTGTTAAATAAAAGGCGAACTGTGCTGAAATGTGTTGCTTTTGAAAGTAGGCTTTGCTCGCTTTTGCTGCTGTCAGTTTATTGACAAGCAGTTTCTCTAAGATGGCTAGCATTGTTATTTACTCTCTCCCGATAGAACCCCTTTCATTTCTCTTCCTTCTCCATATCTTCCAAAGAAACTGCGGCGTATCGGTAAAATGTAAACAAATACTAAGCTGCGCTGTCTCTCTTTCGCTATTTCTGGATGAATGTTTAGTCGCGCCTCAGTGAAGTTCTGAAGGCGTTGCCCCTGGCAACCGATAGCGTCTCCTACCATCATGGCCGACCGGCTCAGACCCCGCCCAAATCGGCACGTGACTCCTCACTCTCAATAGAGCTCCACTATATGCTATTTGCTATTTGACAAATCAAAATCTATCTTTTCACAAGTTTTTCCAGTTGGATTCATATCTAAATATTATAAAATCACAATTATAACAAAACAAAAAAACTTTGTCAAAGTTTAGAATTTTTTGTCAAAAGTTTTTCAATAATGTTACATTATGATCAGAATCAAACCTGAACAAGATGTTACAAAGAGAATTGTTGGAGTCTTTAGATTTGATCATTTATTTCAATCATCTGTTTTTAATATAATTCTACAATTTTAATCAACATGTCAGTTACTAACTGTAACAGAACATAAATTAACAGTTATATTACATAGAGTAAAAATACATGACATGAACATAAAAATGCAATGAACTGAAAAGCAATAACAAATGATCAAATAGAGCAGTAAAAAAATTAGTTAAAAAAACAGTGAAATGGGGAAAAAAAATCGAACAACTAGGAACAATAATGGGTGGTTTCATCTCATACAGTCTCATTTACAGTGCACTGCAGGTGTTTATGCGTCAGTGCACTGCAGGCAGTTTGCATAGTATAGCCTTACAAATGTATTCCTGTGTGAGATTGTGTCTGTGTGTGTGTGCGCGCATTGTGGATGTTTTTTGCATTGTTGGAAGTGTGCCACTTTATTTCTGTCTATGTGTTCTGCGTTGTTTCTGATTTTGATGATGAATTTTGTATATTTACTATGCGGGGTCTCCAGGGACCCCGAAGACAACAAGTGTCACTATTTTTTTCACGCTAACATAAAAACAGATATCATTCCTTTGTTTTTTTTTTGTAGATCTAGAAAGTGTTTAGAGCCGTAGAAAGTTTCATACCATTTGGACAAAGATATATATATATATTTTTTAAATTTGAGTAAATGTCATTTGTGAGTTAAAAAGACCCTGAAGATAATGAGAGGGTTAAAAAAGCTAAACATAGGCTATTAACGAACTAAGCCCTTGGTTGCATGTTTTAAACTCACCACTAGGGTAGGTAAGTTTGAGAAACTAGCAGAAAACTGCTGGATTTTGAAAGTATCCAACGGGGAAACTCCCACCCCCTCCCTTCTGGGCTCCTTCCAAAGCCACGCCCCCAAAACACATGAACGCGTGATGCCGACCGCTCAGCTGGAGGACGCGTTTACCAGCGCCGAGCGAGAGGAGCGCAGTGCATGGAGTGACATCACCTTTTTTTGCCTTGTTTGCCTGCGCTGACTGTATATGCAGGTACAGGTGGTACTGGGAATTTTGACTGCTCTTTCTCTGCCATAATTGTGAGACTTCGTAGCTTCTGGCCGGTACGTGCCTCTCCTCTTTCGAAATGAGCGAGTCAACCGGCTGTGCGCATATGGGCAGCTCCTGTAGCAGCAGGGGTGGTAGCCATGGTAGCGAGGGAGAGTGACAGTCGCCCAGCCAATCATTGCATTCTCATGGAAAGAGTAGCTGTGTTTATTGCAGCCCTGAGAGGACTACAGACACTTGATTTTTATTCTCTCCTTTGCAGAGTACTTACATTTTAGATATTGGTATATAAAGACAGTTTAAACAAATTTGGGAAAAAGTGTTTTAGAAACAAACTGCCTACCCTGCCTTTAAGCTTCTTAAAAATCTTTCAGTCTTTATTTTAAAACGTTTTCCTTGAAAGTTTGAGATAGAATTGATTGTGACCGCTCGATTATTAACACAAGTCTGTAAAAGTGGACTTGAGTAGTTGAGTTTACCTGTTTGCCGTGATGACGTTTAATGTTCCCGACAAACTCTGTAGTCCCATTTAGCCACTTGTTAGCAACGGTCTTTTTCAAGACAATTAAAAACCTGTAAAAAAAATCACAAGGGGTTATTACTCGTGTATTTTATGTTGTAGAAAAAATGTGAAAATATCTGAAGCTTGTGTTACCCAGAGACCTTATTTCAGACGTTTAACCAAAAACAGCTTAGT